ATTTGATTACTGCTGGCACTGATACCAATGCTCAAGTTTTTTATTCTTGCCACTGACACCAATGTTGAGGATTATTATTGCAGCCACTGCCAGAGTAAAATGGAGGAAGGGGGTATTATTGCTGCATCTCCTCTTAGCTGAATGCCACAGAAACTTTATAGAGGCTAGCGTGAGGAAAGAATACAAGAGCAGTGTGCAGGAGAGTGGAGGGCATCCGGGGATAGTGCATCCTGGAAGAGGGGTATCCCAGTTCATGTATGCCTTCTGTTTTTTTACAATATGTACATATGTGCTGCCATCCGTCAAGATTTCCAAAGGTGTTAAAAGACTACTTAAATTATTTTTAGTCAGAATATTCTGCTAGATCACTAGAATCTGGCCCCTTCTTCAGGTATAACTATGAAAAACATTAAAAATAAGTGCCTGTATTGTTTAAAATCCAGTAATACACTGTTGAACCCTGCTCTGCACATGCTCAGTTGCTCTCTATTTTTTGTCACTGTGCTGAAAATGTAGGGGCCGGTCCGCTAACAGCTTAAAGATTTACTGCTGCTCAGGGGCTCTGGGCTTCAGCACAATGGCAGCCTCCAGCATGAAGAAACATACTACCAAAGTTTTGTGAGTGCTGTAAATTGCCTCCAGCATTGTTCCTAATTATTAATGTGGAATGCACTGTATATTCCTTGCTGCTCATAGAACTGGACTTTTTTCCTTGGGGCCGCATATTTGTGTACCTGTCTTTGTGCTCCCAGCACAAAGACCGGGGTGTCACTGAGAGCCTCAGGTCCCGTTCTAACGATCAGGACCCGGGACTCCTGATTCCAGGTCACATGATCGCTGTGATAGCCTGCAATGCTGGACATCTTGGCTGGAGGGTCTCCCAGTTAGGATCCAGTTAGACAACCCTCCCACAGCAGTGGCACATATCAACCATCAGAGAGGAACCAGGAATCTTGCCATGGCAAGATGAGTAGAAAGTATTCTGTCCTGACCATAACTTCATGTTCCTGCCTTAACAGTCATTCACATTCTGGGTGTGGACAGTTGGCAGTCAGACTACCTCAGCTGGCATTGCATGGACCCAGAAGAGTGGTCCATACACTCAGAAGTGGTAAAGGACCTGTGTCTCAAGTGAGAGACATTGGATGTGGACTTCCTGACCTTTAGTTTCAACAAAAAAATGTGAAAGCTTATGTCCAGGTACAACTATCCTCTGGCAGAGCCAATGGATGCTCTAGTGGCTCAATGGAATCAGTGTGAAATGATATATGCCTTTCCTCTTCTGCTCTGTAGGAACAAGATGGAGAGCATTCTGGTGATACTCTTATCTCTGAATTGGCCAAGGCAGATGTGACACTCTGACTTGATCAGACTCCTGGCAGATGCTTTGTTGGCTTTTTCAGAGTGTCCATATATTCTGTCCCAAGAACCAGTTTACCTTACTGCTTCTCAGTTGCTGGCTTTATCAGAAAGGCTGTTAAAGTCCAGGTCTCGAGAATCTGCACCCTCTCCAATTTGGTGATCTGCACAATGTTAAAAGCCAGAAAGTCCACTTCCTGTAAGATCACCCTCATGATTTGCTTGGTGCAAAGAAAATACATTTTCATTCCAGGAAATAATCAGTGGAACAAATCTTCACATTTTGCAATCAGGTTTGGATCAACAGATGGTCATGAGTACCATCAAGGGCCAAGTCTCAGTGCTTGCAGTTTTGTTTCAAGGACTGCTCGCTTCCCATATCTGAATTAAAGTGATGTAAATGCTCTTTTATTTTTTAAAGAAAATAACAAACAGGTTTATACTTGCCTGCTCTGTGAAATGGAATTGCACAGATTGGCCCAAACCTCCTCTTTTCGTGTCCCCGCTGGCGTCATAGCTCCTCCCCTGAGTGCTCTCATAGGAAGCCGCTTTCTATAGGGGCACTCATGCGGGTTTAGCTCCTGCGCCTTGTCTGCATTTATTCTTGAAATGCTGCAGGGCCCTCTGCACACTGGTACATAACCTTTCAAGCAGATTCTGCAATAAATAGGGATATTTGGTTCACACATATTGCAATACATGTTTAAGCTTGCCAACTGCGTCAAAGTAATCCCTCTATGGCCAGTCCTACTTTGCTCTGCCTGCGAAAATGCTACTGTGGACACAATGCTAATATAGGGGAAAAGACAAAGCTACCAGGTTTAGGTCTGGCTACTGACCAACAATACAACAAACAATATATACCTGTGCTCAAATCCCAGTAGCTGATGTTGGCATTGTGTCCACAGTAGCATTTGCTTAGGCAGAGCAGAGTAGGACTGGCCATAGAGGGCTTACTTTGATGCAGTTCGCCAGCTTAAACATGTGTGAACTAAATATCGCTATTTAGTGCATAGTGTGCTTGAAAGAGTATATACCAGTATGCAGAGGGCCCTTCAGAATTTATAGTGTTAATATGTGGTTACACCCCTTTAGCACATGATGGATAAATGCATGTACTAGCTCTTGGAATTTGAGCACAGGTATATTTTTTGTTGTCTGCATTTATTGACACAGGTGGAACTCGGCCCCAAGCTCCCTCATCACTGACTTTGATTGACAGCAGTGGGAGCCAATGGCTCCCACGGCCTCAGCAAAGCCTGAGAGACCAGGAAGTGAGGGGAGAGAAGAGCTGCCATTGTGCACAGCACTGAATCGAATGAGGGCTCAGGTAAGCTGCTGTCCAAAGGTGTCTGTTATAGTACTTTATGCAGGATGCAGACACCCTGAGACAGGAAGTGTGTTACTGGCTGGATCACCTTGTGAAATAAATGGGTAAAAAGCCTAAAAAAAGGTGTGGCCATTGGAATAATGTTTAATTGGATGGAAATGGCTTGTAAGTGATTATGAGACCTGTCCCAGCTAAGGTTTTAGTTTTCTATTAAGTCAGCCTAAAAATCACACTCTGGTTGGCTGTATGCCTTGAACTTAGCAACACGAGTGGTTCTAGAAATAAAATAATAAAAGTTAGCAGCAAGAAATACTGTAGCTGCTGAGTATTAACAAGAGGGCTGTGACGAAACATCCCTTGTGATAACATTTTGCCCTTTCTGTTTCTGGTTTTATCCCCTTGTTAAGTGGTGGTCTTCCCATTCTCCCCTTGGTAAAGCTGTATGTTTAGCAGCTGGTATGTAGACAGACATTATTATTATTATTACAGGATTTATGGTGCCAACAGTTTGCTCAGCGCTTTACAATATAACGGGAGACAATACAGCAACATACAGTTCAATACAAGAGGGAAAGGGAGGGCCCTGCTCCTTGGAGCCTACATTCTACACTGTTTGTTTAGGGAAATGTGACCTTGTATTCTTTCACTTCTAATAGAGTTCATACTGTATTGTTGGTTGTAGGGTTTTGTTGTGGGTGGGGAAAACCCCGGTGCCAGGCTGTCTGCTGGGAGTGGGGGTGAAGCTGTATACACTGAACTGTGTTCAATAATTCATTCATTTCAACCTACACGAAGTTTCGACTTGTGGTTTGGGATATCAGGAAAGGATTGGTTTTGAGCTCTAATACCTGCCTTAACAGAGTGCTGGAAGACTTGCAGGACAAGGGGACCATTGGCTGAGACACATCGCTCCGCACGAGGAAGCCCAGGCGGAACGCTCTTCAGCTGTCTTTGGCTCCACACACTGGCATATTTACTTTGGGAAGCTGGCTGTGACCACTTGTGGCTTCACAGCCAGCTTCCCACGGCGCCATGCTGCACAGGTGAATAGTCCCACAGCTTTCTGGGACTTGTGACGTGTCTGAGAAGGCTGCGTGGGTAAAGAGGGGAGGATTAACTTCAAGTGAAAAAACTTACAGAATGGGGAGATGGAGGAAGACAAGTGGAATTTTCCCTTTTGGGTGAAGTTCCGCTTTGGATAGAACTATGACTTCAAATAACAAATATTCTAACTTATGTAACAACACTATACTTTTGGGATGAAAGTATTTAACTGGAGCAGTTTAAAAAAATAGTTGCCATATATTTTGTGAGTTGTTTGAGTTTAAAGTGGTTCTAAAGGCTAAACGTTTTTTACCTGAATGCATTCCTTGCATTAAGGTAAAAAATATTTAGGCATCAGTATTGGCCCCTCATCCCTCCCTTATACTTATCTGAGCTCTCATTCTGTCCAGTGCTGTACACATCTGCAACTTCTCTCTTCTGTGTCTCACAGGCTTTGCTGAGGCAGCTGGTTGGCTCCATCTGCTGTCAATTAAAACCAGTGATGGAGGGCAGGGCTGAGTCCTGCTGTCTGTGTCAATGGAAATGGCAGCAGGGCTCCGGATCGAGCCTGTACAAGTGCCCCCATGGGAAACGTCTTCTTTTTGAGGGCACTAGACAGAGAACAGGAACCAGGTGCACCAGCAGGGCACCTGAGAAAAGAAAGTTCAGGGCTGTTCTATGCCTGTCTAGTGTTCTTGGCTTAGTATATAGTGGGAATCAGTCTTGCTTGTGTACACATTATCTGCTTACAATTATTACACATATTCCTGAATTCTAGCCCAGTGGGTGTTATATTGATGGATGCTTGATCCAGGGACCTTTCCTTTATGTGTATGACAATTGGCTAATAGGTGTGATTAGTAAGAGCTACTATGGGCTCCACCTTATTCTCTAGTATGTTTTTTTTTCTACTAAAACATTTTAAAATTCTGGGATGCATTTAGAAGATGTGTTTCCTCATTGGACAGGTAGAGACCTTCCCCACAGAGCGATCTCCTTTTTTTCCTGCTACAACTATAGCAGGGCCTATTGGGTTTCTAAAGATCTCCAGCAATCTTGCAGTGCTTTGAGTCCTATTTTACTACCTACATAGTACAAGTAATTGAGGTCTAGCCAGCCCAGAATTGTTGTATGTTGTACTTTGTAAAAATGTTACAGTTCATGAAAAGAATTTATTGCAGTACGCTATTTGTTACTGTTTTTATGCATGAATAAAATGTTGTGTTGTGTGACATAAAATAAAGATGGGATTTCTGCTTTACATTAGGTAAATGATCGAAGACTTCTTTCTGGAATTCTAACTGTTTGCGGCATCCCAGAATCCAAGTTCAAAACTGTGTGTGCCTCCATTGACAAGCTGGACAAGGTAATTTCAGTATTTTTGTGTAAAATTCTGCTGGCTGTGCTGTTTGTTGTCTTGGTTTAGGCCATTCTATCCCTGTGCACCAATAATGGCTTCTGTATTCCGCAAATAACTTCAATAGCCATTTGATTTCTATAAGGATATCACAAGATTAGGATGGATGAGTCGGCTGTATGATGGCTTCATCTATCATTGTTATATAAGAAAACACAAGGGGGCACCAACCTAAGTGCAGTAAGTATGAAAAGTTTTTATTAAAAAATATAGCCAATAGCTACTCACAAGTGTACAAGGTAATAAGGCGTAGGAATATGTCCTCGAGTGGGCCAGTGCAGAGGCCAATGGTGTCTAATGGAGCCCGGGTCCCGGGAATGGGATGCAAGGTGAGTTGTCAGCGGGAGACGCCAAGACTAGCGCCATAACCAGCGTGGAGCGCACGGACGTCCGGACCAGAAGGGCAACCAATGGGGATGCGAGGACAGGTCAGGTGGTGTGTCGGGTGACAAGTTTCTGATGAAAAAGCAGAATCTTTGAAACGCGTTACCTGACACACCACTGGGGAAATTGTCACCAGCACACACCGAGGATCACCAACATGGGTCCAAATGTTTTAATGAACAATTACATAGTTACAGCAAGGCAACGTTTCGGAGTCTCGCAGGAGCCCTTCATCAGGAATGGTCAAATGGTCACATGCCTGATGAAGGGGTCCTGTGAGACTCCAAAACATTGCCTTGCTGTAACTATGTGATCGTTCATTAAAACTTTTGGCCCCATGTTGGTGATCCTTGGTGTGCTGGTGACATTTTCCCTTGCTGATTCTGTTCAGCTCTAGCCGATGGTAGCTGCAGCACCCACTTATACACACAGCCATTTTTAACGCAGGAACATGTGCATTTGGATTGTACACTTGCATACCTGACACACCACCTGACCTATCCTCACATCCCTATTGGTTGCCCTTCTGGTCCGAACTTCCGTGCGCTCCATGCTGGTTACGGCGCTAGTCCTGGCATCTCCCGCTGACAGTACACCTTGCATCCCACTCCCCCGGGACCCGGGCTCCATTAGACACCATTGGCCTCTGCACTGGCCCACTCAAGGACATATTCCTACGCCTTACTACCTTGTACACTTGTAAGTACCTATTGGCTATATTTTTTAATAAACTTTTCATACTTACTGCACTTAGGTTGGCGCCCCCTTGTGTTATATTTCCTACAGAGCCTGCTTCACGCTATGGGAAGCTGCCACTTCTAGTGCATAAGCCACAGACTTTATGGACTTGTTTTTATATGTCTTTATATGTTTTTATATGCCTTTTTATACGCTTTTAGTTCATTTCATGCTTTTAAATATCTACATTTTTGTTGTAGCGCCACTATACAACTGTCTCTTCTCAGTGCCAATCATTTACACTGTTATCTATCATTGTTATAGGTCAGTTTGTGACTCTTCTGGTTCCCCCCTCCCCTTCTTGACAGGGAAGTTTGGTTCGGCAGCAAAACTTTAGTTCTTTCTTTTTAAGCACAAAAGACTGTAAAGTGTATCCAAAGCCAAAGATTTCTTACAGATTTCAATAGAGTGGTTGGGGGTTAGAACACTTGACACATTTTTATCACTGTCTAAAAAAGTCCAAAACTTTCAAGCTGTCATTTGAGGTGACACCAGGATAAGGATAGCGGGGGGAAATTTCCAGTGGGAACACTTGTTACGATGACAGCTGTCCAAGAGGGTATTTTCTTTATTTTGGAGAGAATTAGAATCACTTCCTGTTGTAATTATAGGATAAGAAGTGCAGTAAAATCACCCAAATGAGACACAGATGACCAAAACTGAATAAAATTTTAACCATTACCTATTCTTTCCAAAATGGAAAAAATATCTCAGCTTTAAATATACTTTAATGTCTACATCTATAAAATTCAGCTAATCATAACAATGAGATTCTTTTACATTTCTTCCTTGCATTGAGAGAATGACTAAAAGAGTATTCTTCTACATTATTTTGATATATACTGCAGCTCATGCTTCCCTCTGCATCCCGTGAGCAGAAGCCTTCATGATTCAGATTTGCATGACATTGCTTGAATGTTTGCCATTTAGAGAAGGAGAATGATGCACGCACATGCAGGATCTGCAGTTTAAATTTCTGCTTATGTTCATGCTAATTGGAGTCTTGGAAACATCAGAAAAAGTCATTTTTGACAGAACATAGTTTAGCTTTTCTAGAACTATAATGGGTTATATGACTTATTTTAAAGTGGTTGTAAACCTCATACATGAAATATGAACAAAGGTTATCCCTCTATAGCAGCGGTTCTCAACCTGGGGGTCGCGACCCCTTTGGGGGTCGAACGACCATTTCACAGGGGTCGCCTAAGACCATCGAAAAACACATATTTTTCCGATGGTCTTAGGAACCGAGACACCGCTCCTGTCTCAGGCGATCTGTGGGCGGGATGATATGCTGCCCCTGTAACCTGGCCACACACCCGGGATCACTCAACAGCTCCGCCTCCTAGCCGCTGATTGGCCACCAGAACTTTAGCTCAGGAGAGGCACACAGGCGGCCAATCACCGGCGAGGAGGTGGAGCTTGGAGAGGAGGAGCCGAGCGGCAGCGCGCGGAGATCAAAGAAGATCGAGAGAGCTGCAGGAGCGAGTGAAGAGAGAGGCCAGAGAAGGAAGACAGCTGACAGGTAAGTGCAAATTTTGCTGCTGCAGCCAGGTATGCAGGCTGTAGATGGGAGAGGGAGAGAGCGAGCCCAGGCTGGAGCAGGAGTCAGCAAGGTAAGTATCATTGGTGTCAGTGGAAGGGATAGTGCCCCATCATTGGTGTCACTAATACCAACGATGGGGCACTATTCCTCCCCCCACTGACACCAACGATGGGGCACTATTCCTCCCCCCACTGACACCAACGATGGGGCGCTATTCCTCCCCCCACTGACACCAACGATGGGGCGCTATTCCTCCCCCCACTGACACCAACGATGGGGCTCTATTCCTCCCCCCACTGACACCAACGATGGGGCGCTATTCCTCCCCCCACTGACACCAACGATGGGGCGCTATTCCTCCCCCCACTGACACCAACGATGGGGCGCTATTCCTCCCCCCACTGACACCAACGATGGGGCGCTATTCCTCCCCCACTGACCACCAACGATGGGGCGCTATTCCTCCCCCCACTGACACCAACGATGGGGCGCTATTCCTCCCCCCACTGACACCAACGATGGGGCGCTATTCCTCCCCCCACTGACACCAACGATGGGGCGCTATTCCTCCCCCACCAACGATGGGGCGCTATTCCTCCCCCCACTGACACCAACGATGGGGCGCTATTCCTCCCCCCACTGACACCAACGATGGGGCGCTATTCCTCCCCCCACTGACACCAACGATGGGGCGCTATTCCTCCCCCCCACTGACACCAACGATGGGGCTATTCCTCCCCCCCCACTGACACCAACGATGGGGCGCTATTCCTCCCCCCACTGACACCAACGATGGGGCGCTATTCCTCCCCCCACTGACACCAACGATGGGGCGCTATTCCTCCCCCCACTGACGCCAACGATGGGGCGCTATTCCTCCCCCACTGACGCCAACGATGGGGCGCTATTCCTCCCCCCACTGACGCCAACGATGGGGCGCTATTCCTCCCCCCACTGACGCCAACGATGGGGCGCTATTCCCCCCCCCACTGACGCCAACGATGGGGCGCTATTCCTCCCCCCCCCACTGACGCCAACGATGGGGCGCTATTCCTCCCCCCACTGACGCCAACGATGGGGCGCTATTTCCTCCCCCCACTGACGCCAACGATGGGGCGCTATTCCTCCCCCCACTGACGCCCCCCCCCCCACTGACGCCAACGATGGGGCGCTATTCCTCCCCCCACTGACACGCCAACGATGGGGCGCTATTCCTCCCCCCCACTGACGCCAACGATGGGGCGCTATTCCTCCCCCACTGACGCCAACGATGGGGCGCTATTCCTCCCCCCACTGACGCCAACGATGGGGCGCTATTCCTCCCCCCACTGACGCCAACGATGGGGCGCTATTCCTCCCCCCACTGACGCCAACGATGGGGCGCTATTCCTCCCCCCCCCCCCACTGACGCCAACGATGGGGCGCTATTCCTCCCCCCACTGACGCCAACGATGGGGCGCTATTCCTCCCCCCACTGACGCCAACGATGGGGCGCTATTCCTCCCCCCCACTGACGCCAACGATGGGGCGCTATTCCTCCCCCCACTGACGCCAACGATGGGGCGCTATTCCTCCCCCCACTGACGCCAACGATGGGGCGCTATTCCCCCCCACTGACGCCCAACGATGGGGCGCTATTCCTCCCCCCCCACTGACGCCAACGATGGGGCGCTATTCCTCCCCCCACTGACGCCAACGATGGGGCGCTATTCCTCCCCCCCACTGACGCCAACGATGGGGCGCTATTCCTCCCCCCACTGACGCCAACGATGGGGCGCTATTCCTCCCCCCACTGACGCCAACGATGGGGCGCTATTCCTCCCCCCCACTGACGCCAACGATGGGGCGCTATTCCTCCCCCCACTGACGCCAACGATGGGGCGCTATTCCTCCCCCCCACTGACGCCAACGATGGGGCGCTATTCCCCCCCCACTGACAAACGATGGGGCGCTATTCCTCCCCCCACTGACGCCAACGATGGGGCGCTATTCCTCCCCCCACTGACGCCAACGATGGGGCGCTATTCCTCCCCCCACTGACGCCAACGATGGGGCGCTATTCCTCCCCCCACTGACGCCAACGATGGGGCGCTATTCCTCCCCCCACTGACGCCAACGATGGGGCGCTATTCCTCCCCCCCACTGACGCCAACGATGGGGCGCGCATATTGACGCCTGGGGCCCCCCCCTGACGCCAACGATGGGGCGCTATTCCCCCCCCCCCCCCACTGACGCCAACGATGGGGCGCTATTCCCCCCCCACTGACGCCAACGATGGGGC